CCAGACGTCAAAGTCGGTCGCCTATGCACACCTAAATACTTTGGATTCTGTTATATTTATAGAACTTGCTTTATATTTGTTAAGGCTTATACTATATTTCAACAACCTATCAACTAAATTCCAAAATTAGACTGATTGTACGTGGTTTCACGACATTATGCTGTCAAAAGTATATCTTTAACACCTTTAAGAGCTTACTTTGATTCGAGCGAAGGGTTGAGATTTTTCTCAGTTTCCTTTAATCATTTGATATTCGATTGGATCTACGAATATTTGAACCCTAAATTCTCAATATTCACATATTGATGAAATCAGTGTTTGAACACTTCCATTTCATTGTTCGTGCTTCTGTGCATCACTTGTGGCGGAGGGCAGCTGTGGTCTTAGTCTATGACCTTCTCAGGGGTGGGTGTCGAGCACTTTTTATGTCGTCTTCAAAAATATATGTATTTTTATATTTTCGTATACTTCGTGACTTGGTCGATGAAAAACATAGTCATATACCATCAACAGCAGGTGACAAAATGTAGCATAGGGCTCCTTAAAACCCTCAAAATAGTACATACATTTGACAGTAGAAGGTCTTCCATAGATTTTTTTGACAAAAGAACCTAACAAAAAGAGCGAACGACCCAGGAGTTCAATATTCATGGAATCCGGGGCTTTGTTGGAGTGTGCCCATTATGGTGCAATGGGTCGGGACCGGCAGGAACTCTCCTCAGTTCCCAGTCTTCAGGCATCTCATTATAATTTCCGAAGCTCGCATACTTTGAGGCTGGTCCACTACTCTTAAAACCCATCTCCTTCCTGTTATAAGCCTTGCCCTTGCACTCTGCAAAATATGTCAAACTTCATCAATTGACAAAATGTTTCAAATAATCAAAGATTTACAAGCAATATTGGACAAGTCTCAAGACTCTATAAGAAAGAGGATAGCGTAGCAGAAAAATGTGTGTTTTGTGTGAGAGAGAGAGAGAGAGAGAGACCAGAAGCTTGTAGCATGATCAGCGCAAGAACCAGCAGCACCTGAAAGCACTTAGATTTTGTAATCGCCATTTCAGTGGAGAATTCTCAAAGGGTAAGTTACAGTTGTTGAATTATGCAGGTGCTAAGTTGGAGAGGCAGAAGTGAATTTATAGAGAGAATCTCTCTTATTAGTTGCTGCGAATGATTACCCATGCAGCCATTGTTTAGTGATAAGACACTGTGTTCAAACACCATAAAATGAAAATCTTTTACAGCACAGCCCTAGTGGATATATGATGGCGCCGTTTTAGATGTGATGACATCACCACCATCAATTCAAATGTTTACTCCCAGTTTCTGTTATAAAGAGATTCCATTTTGGTACTATCTAAAGAACAGTACGAATCTGGGCATTTTTCATAGTTGAGGAAAAGAGTATCTTTAGGTTAAAGCAGGGAGATATTGAGGATAGTACACCTGGGATTTTGTCAATAGAGGTAATGCTGATGATACATAATCATTAGATATAACTAGTTGTCTGTATGAATCTGTATGTACCTATAACTAGTTGTATGTATCAGAATTCAGATAATATATATATATATATAGAGAGAGAGAGAGAGACCCTCTACGGCGACTCTTTCCCTCTGGTTTAGTTGCATGCAGATGCAGGTGAACAAGCTTTCGATTTGGGTGGCTCTGACGTTATACACTGGCAATGATGCAAACATTGAAATAGTCGTTCTTAGAACGTATAGAGCATGACAGCGTGTTCAGTGCATTTAAGCCTCTGTTTGGCCTTTATTTCTAAATTTCATTTATTTCCAATTTCATTTTTAATCACAAGTTTCGTGAAATTCACAATTTTTATCAACTTTTCAATCGTACATTTCACCAACTTTTATTAAAATTTTCTAAAAAATCAATTTTTTTTTATCCAAATCAAATTGTGGTTAAATATAAATTTTATCTACTACGATATTTGATTCAAATAAATATATTACGACAACTAAATTCCTCAAGCTAACCAGAATAATACAATTTGCCCAATATTTTTTTTTCGTAAAGCTATTGAAGGCTTGAATCAGTAAATACATATCATTTGCCTGTCCCAAGGAAAATAGTACTCCAAGCGTAATCAAAATACAAATCGATAGAACTTATAATAAGGCTTGCAATAGATGTCCTAAAAACATACGTGAAAATAAAGAGTTCTGCTATGTGTATAGGGCAGTTTGACAAGATTTTGTATATTTGGTAGATTTTCATTAACAGTTAGTCAAAAAATGGCTGTCATACAGGTGTTGCCATCTCAGCACCTGTAAATTTTGATGTGAACAATCTCTCTACAAACAGGTTAACCCGAAAATGAAACCAAGAGCACCATCAGTGTAGGAGAGATGCACCATCAGTGTAGGAGAGATGATGCTAGTAGCTCTAGATGACAGTGAATTTGTCACCCTATAACTCCTCTTACAATAGATATGAGTAGCAGTGTCCAATTGAGAGATCCTAGTTAGGCCCTACTTGATGATCGTTATTCTGAGAAAGTAAAGTTTTGAATATTAATTTTTTTAAGAATGTTTGATTAAAAAGTAAGAAAAAGTTTTGAATTTCCATGCAAAATATTTTATTATGTAAATGTATAATTACAAATGAGTATGAGAATTAAAAAATTTTGAAACACTGATTGTCAAATCGGGGCTTAAACATGTATCCCAAAATGGACGCCACTTCCAAGGAACTTTCTGGGATCGGAAAGGAATTATAGCCACCAAATTATCTGTTTCGGGAAAATAGGCGTCAAACCTTTTCTGCGTAACTTAGGTGAAAGAGGAAGAAAGCCTCCTTCCCAGTCGTTAGTGAGAATTCTAACATTGTTTCTTTTGAGAAATTTTTGTAATTAGCCTTGAACCATAGTTGCATTACAGAATTTTTTTTACGGAGAGTTTACGGACAACACATGGTGGGGCCGGTACAATTTTTTTTTTTTTTTTTTAATGCATTTGGGGACCCGTCCCTTGTGATCCGTAAGACCCCAGTGAATAAATCACCTGTACATGGGGATTTATTCTTAGCCTATTAGTCCTTTAGCCTAGGAATCATCCTCGATTTTCAATTCTCAACATGTTCAGTTATTAAGCGCATGTCTGGTGCTGCTTCTCCTTGTATTATAATTGATTCATTGACCGGTAGTAGGCCCCACATGAGAGATGGATAGTCAAGAATTGCGGCTGAGTGCCATTCCAACGGTCATAAAAATGCTTAAAATCAGGCAAAAAATCAAGAACAGACAGGGGCTAAGTAGTAACATCTAGTACAATTAAATAACCATTCAAATAATTAATCCTCTGTTTTGTTACAATCCCTATATTTAAGTCTATCACGTTAAAGATTGTGAATACATTTGCGTAGATTGGATGCTTTAGTGAGACCTCTGCGAATTACAGTAACATGGGTGCCTGTGCCTACAGTCTCTATGTGAGTAGTGGACTTTTTCTAGTATTTTACCTTTTATGCCCCTCTGATATGACACAAAATCAGCGAGGGGAGCTGCTTTATAGAAAGATTCCATTAAGATCAATCATTTCGATGACGTGTCTAAATCAGAAGCCGTATTGTACATTGTGCAGGAAAAGTGGGATTCTTTATGTGATAGTTGTCATAGGTCAACCCGATGATGTTGTCACAAAATGTAGATTTTCCACGAAATTAGTCACTAGTTTTTAGAATAAAAATAAAATGGTTTTCAAATATTTTCCAATTATAATAATTATATTTAAAAATCATAAAGAAGGAATGCACAAGCCAAATTAGATTTGACAAAAAAAAGTAATTCATGCCAAATCACTTTATTCCTGCATCTATCGAGAATTACTTTGTTACATACGTCCTAATTTAACATGACAAACAAGTGAATATTATGTCAAGCCAATTCAAAAGTCGTCATGCCAATCCACTTTACATCCCTAAGAGCATTGACCGTTCATTTTGATCCCCACTAGCCAATTTTGTGTCGACAACGAAGTTTTTTTATTAACTATGGTCTAATGACATATCTTTTAAAAGACACCCTACAAGTCTTTCTACCGATGAGTTCTATCATACATAGCCATAAGATATCAGTCAGCAAAACAAAATGTTGATCTTGTCAAGAAATAAAATCTCTTTCAAGTATTAACAGCTTCGAGTATAAAATTCAAAAGGATCAATAAGAAACGGCGTTTCAAGACAATAACATCACATACGTCGAGCACGGTGCTCTACAAAAATCTAGGTTTTGAACTTGTTGAATTTATGAATAGAGAAACTCATGATATTTTACACGTTACACACGAATAATAAGAAATTAGGGTCTGTTTGATACCTTCTTTTTTCCATGGAAAATGGAAAATATTTGCCTTTTTCCTATTTTTTCAATGTTTTATACCAATTATTTTACTTGGAAAAAATTTAACAGCCGCAACCTGACGCGCCTGATTTTCCTGGAAGTCATTGCTTTTGTTTTCCTTGTGTTTTGGCAAGAATTGATTTTCCAACTTTCGCATTTATTTATTTATTTATTTTTTTTGGCAATTGGGAAAAATTCTAGACACGATGGTAAAAAAATTTATCACTTTTTTTGTCAATTTCCATGTAAAACGAAGTCAAACGAACACTAAATTTTGATTGAAAAATAGGTTTCGAACAACATTTTTTTTTTTTTTTGACCTTTTTGGCAATGGTAACAAATTTCATAAACAATTGTAAAAAAAAAAAAAATCATTTAATGGACAATTTTTATATAAAATAAAGCCAAACGTGAACAAAAAAATCCAAAATTTCAATTTTTTTTCCAGGTGGAAAATTATATCAATCAAACACACTTAATTAACAATTCCCTGGAAAACAATTTCTAGACAATTACTTTCCCTGGAATTCATTTTCTTTCCACCCATTTTCCACTATTGCAATCAAACAGGCCCTTAGCTTTCTCGAACATGAGGAAAAAATGCATCTTAGAAAAACTGGCAGTATCTTGGAGCCAACGAACCTCAAGAATCCAGGAGATGGGGATGAAGGCCTAACTGTTTCCTTACTTTGCCAACAAATAAATCTTTGGATTTGATTAATCCAGGAACAAGTCCAATGATTGTTGTTAATGGAAACTGTGCTACTGCATCGTGCCTCCCCAAAGAAACAATGACCTTTATTGTACGAGGCTTGTGAATTGCCATTTTGCTTTCTTTTCCTCCTGTCAGTAACAGTTTCAAGTTTTTTGCTGCTATTAAAGCATGTTTCTGAGCCAAATACCCTTGCTTGATTTCCTGAAATAAAACAAGGAATTATCTAGATCGCGATTTCTAAAGCTTATGAAGAATTGTTATAATTTAGTACTCACCTTGACATCAGTGATATCTCCTATAGCAAATATGTTTTTGTACCCTTTGACTCTAAGGTTCTCATCAACCTTTAACCGTCCAAAATTATCGATGCTGTTGTTCAAAAAAGTTTCCTTTAACCATGCTGAAGCCAGCGGTTTTCCCGTGCACATAAAAAGACAGTCTGCTTTGATCACTTCTCCAGATGACGTTACGTATGTCTTGCTTCCTTGTGAACTATTGTTCAACTCGACTGATTGTCTCAATTTCACTTCCACATTTTTCGACTTTAGCCATTCTAAAGTTTTGTCAGCCGCTTTCGGTCCAATGAATTCCAGCAACCTAGAACCATCGTGCACCAGAACAACCCTTTTGTCTGGATAATCAACAGCAATTTCTGAAGCTAGTTCAACACCAGTAGGTCCACCTCCAACAATCAAAACTGAGCTAGCACCTTTTATCTTTTCATTTTCTGCCATTATGGAGAGAAAATTTTAGGCTTTTTGCAATGGGCGGAATGCGTTGCCATAGGGATTTAGCAACGTGCACGTGTACATTGCGCCCTTGATGTTGTCGTAAAGTAGATGGATACTGCAACAGTTAATATATGTTGCAAGATTGAAAGCGCATTGTCATTAGACGTGCATTTGTGCCTTTACTTTTCAACATGCATACTCGAAGAAAAAATCTAATGTCCGGTCAGAATAAACACTAAAACCTAAAAATCATCGGTCCAAGTTTTCTTCTCTACCTTTTTCCTTTTTTCTGTATGTGGCAATACGCAGTGATAGATACACCAGAACATCTTGATTTCGTGATCATCAAAGAGAACTAGACCAATTATACTTGGACAACTATATATTCATCAAATAGCCGTTGAAGTTGAGAAACACGGTACACTTAATCGCTGAAATAGCATCTAAAACTAGTTTGATCCATTTTTAAAGCCTTTCAATTTTCAAGTATGACATTGAACAACTTATGTTGCAAGTTGAAAGACGCGCCTCAACAGAATCCAAGCAAACCAGCTAAACACAAACGCTGGATATAATAAATAAAAGGAAGAGTTTCACCTATATAGGGATACCTGCATAGTACTCTTCTAGTCTCTCAGTTCTGTTTTTAGGGAAGGTATCATTGTGACCTGTGGCAATGACAAGGTAGTCGTAGGCAACCTGATGGCCCTCTTCAGTCAAAACTTCAGAGTTAGAGATGTTTATGACCTTTGATACAACGAGACGTCCATTGGTAAGGTAATCTTTGTGGTAGATCACTGATCTCTCTGCAAAAGAAGGCTCCACCATTGCTCTCAAGCTTGCCCACGGGATCTCAAAATACTCCTTCCTAATTATAGATACATTGTGTTATTATTGAGAAAGAAACATATTGGTGCAAAAAGTACAATAGTCCATGTTGTCATTTTTATAAATTGGACAGCATAATTTGAGCTACTTCAAGTAGGACATGCTCATTAACCAATTGATAGAAGACATTGCGCTAAACTACATAATCTCTCATTCTTGAGATGTGATTTTTTATGTGCATCTTTATTCCCTTTTCTGTCTACACATAAATAAACAGAATACTTCGCAATTCGGTGAATATGTCAATTATTTTAGACATCTGATAAATTCAATAACAGATAGCTGTACATACGATCCTAAATCCATTTCAGTTTGCTACAATACTAAAGAAACGACATAGGAACGAGTTGAAAAGCTGTGAAATGTTAGACTAAGGGTCCGTTTGACAAGACTTCTAGCTAGACAAAGCACGTCTAGAAAATTATCCAAAGATGTTGAAAAGCAGCTTTTTAGTCTGGGAAGCAGCTTTTGGCTTTTCCAAAGCTGTGCCAAATGGCTCTAATACATGAATAAATTCTTAAACTCTTTTTACACCTACAACCCTGAAATCTATGTATAGCCAGCAATTTACCAGAATCGTGGTGGAATCGGTCTCCAATTAATGAGGTAAGTTTCCCTCTATTGCAAGTCAATCGAGGAAAGGATTTATTGAAGCAGAGAACAAACTGAGTCATCTTGACTTGAATTAAGGCCAATTCTTAAGTTAGGTTTGAATTGCACCAGAAAACAAATTCATCAACCACCATTCTAAAGAGAGAACAAAAGAGCTTAAACTAGTAAACAAAGAAAAAGGAAAAAAGAGAAGTGATTACGGATCAATGAGGGTTACATCGGCATGAAATTGAATAGACTTAGCAATGAGGGAGCCTGCAACTCCGCCGCCTATCACCACCACCCGCTTCCATACTCCGCTCATCTCAGATGGCCTCTCCATTTATCCCACCACTGCTTTTTGTCAACTCTCCCGTGACAGCTATATAATATAATATACTAATTTATACAAATGGAGGAAGTTAAGTGTATAGCATATCTATGAATATCATATAACTTACAGGGGAAGGAGAGGAACAATCATAATTATGGATTTGGTCCGAAGAAGAATCTACGCGGAAGGAGGAATTGGTTGTGGTTTTACTCGGTCTGTGATTTGGACATTTTTTGGGCCCTACTATTCGATATTATCGTTGGGTAGGCCCCACCTCTCTCAGATAATTTTCCCAATCGCAAACCACACTGGTTGACTTGGGTCTAAAGTTAAAAGAGGAAATTACACCCGGCCCTACTTTTAAATTATCATTTTCATAAATCCTTATTCAAGTTTGCTATTGCAAAAATCAGGTTGTAATTAATAAATTTAAAATATTTTTTTATTCTTATTTTTATATTTCCCAACCCTAACCCACAACCCACACCTTCCCCTTTCTCTCTCTCTCTACCCGCCGCCTCCTCCCTCCCTCCTCCTTCTCCTCCCCCCTTCTCCTCCTCTTCCCTTTCTCCTCCTCCCTCCTACACTCTCCTCACTGTCGCAGCGTCGAACGCTACTCACAGCAGAGTTCGACGCTGCCGAACGCTGCTCTGTAAAATTTACAGAGCAGCGTTCGACGCGGCTGTGATTACAGCTCTGATTTACAGCAGCGTCTGCTGTGATTTACAGAGCAGCGTTCGACGCTGCTGTGATTTACAGCAGCGT